TGATTAAGTTTTAATATTAAATTGACTTTTCCCCATAAATAATCCATTATGGTATTTGTATGTACGCGGAAGGAAACAAAAATAAGTCGAGTAAAATGTCAAACATTGAAAGAACTGAGATTGTCCCAATAGGCTTTGGTCTATTTTATTTGACACCTTTGAAATATTTTAGTCCGAAGAACAGATAACAACAAGTGCACCAAACAATGTTTTTCAACAAAAAAACAAACAAAAAAAAGAAATTGGGATTTTACATGTTTGTACCTAAATGCTTTAGCAACTAAGTAAAACATACAAATTTACTGTTTTAAGCAACTCCCAACAAAGAAAATATTAAAGAATAAAAAAAAAATTAGTTTCTTATAATAATTTTTACATACTTTTTAATCCTTTCAAATTTTTTTTTAATCATAAACTGAAAATAAAATGTATTTAAACAAGGTAAAATCTTATTGAACCAGTTTTCGTTTTCAAATTTAATTGATTGCACAAAAAAGTCCTTCTTTTGGTTTAGAACAAAGTCAATTTTGCTGTTTTCTGAAAAAGCTTTGATACCTTGACATTGATAAAATGCGCGGATCTAGGGTATAGCCGTTGTGGCTAAGGCTACACCTTAAAATAATCACCGAAATAAAAAATAATATAATACTCTAACATATTTTTAAAGTAAAAATAATATAAATAATTAAGATATGTTTATTTTTATTTGCTGTGTAAAATCGGCTTTAAAAGCGATTACTAAAAACTAAAACAAAAACGGAAATTAAAAAAGATCGGTCATTGCAGATTAGTTTGTGGCTAAGCCATAAGCGACCTGATTTTACGGTATAGGCTGACTAAGTTATTGTTTTGTTTAACTTAATATATTTTTATTGAAAAGTCGTATGCACTTTTATTGAAAAGTCGTTAACACTCGTAGCCCGTAGCTAGATTGCTTTTTGCCTCGTGGCTGTACTTGTTTCCCAGTCTTTTTATGCCCAGCTATTTACAAATAAGCCAAGCGCCTATATTATTTTCATAGTAAGTTGGTAATTATGGCGGATATATTTTGAAAAAATACTGTTCCAAATGCTATTGATACTTCTCACATTCATAACATAAAATGTTGCGAAAAAAAGTTGTTTACAAAACCAAATGGTTTAAATATCTCACCTGTTTAATTTCATCGTTAAACTTTAGGTTTTTATACCATATTTTAAAATGGATCAAGGTTTTGTAGCTTTAAGGTATATTTTTTTAACTTTATTTTCACGAACTATATTTGTTATAAAAATAACATGCTTTATAACTGTAACTATGTTTACTTATATACAACTGTTTCTTTTCTTATTGTTATAACATTTAACTAAAACATTTTTATTTTATTAAACAGGTTAATACTATTAATAATAGTTTCGCCACAGAGCTGTATAAACAATTCTCATTGTTTTTTGCTATAAATGTAAATAATTAAAATATTACATTTTTATTTCTTCAAAAAAAAATTTAATCTTCAATTTGAAGCTTTATTAAAGCTTCAATATTAAGTTCTCTCTCTTTAGTTAAAGCCTTTAATCAAAGAAGATCTTATAAGTTGATTCTATTTTCATTAGAATTAACTATAATAAAATATAGGAGACTCTTCTAAGAAAGTCCTCAAAAAAAAGTTGAAGGAAATATTTTCGAACTTCTTAATTTTGGAATTTATGCAGGTGACTATCTTATAAGGTCACTTAATATCAGCCCCTAAAAATGTCACATATTTCTTAGTCCACACAAAATTAACTTATGGAGTGTTGTAGTATAGTTTTTGAGGAGATTCTTTTATCTGAAGTCAATAAAAGAAAAAACTATTTAGTTTTAGCTATTAAAGCATCTGGTAGTGTCAATCTTAAATAGTAGTCTATCATTATAAGGTATATAGACAATAACTATAATACTCGTAAAGATTTCTTAAGGTTTGTTGACTGTCGTTTAATTATTTAAATGTGCTCTTAGCCGAAAATTATAGCCATGTTTAATTAATTATCTTTCTTTTGGTAAAGCAAAGCTAATTGATGTCTATTGTACTTGTTGGGTTCAAAAACAAAAAAGTCTAGGCATTTTTTTTAGCAAAAGACTCTTCATAGTTAATGCTTGAATTTTTTTTCAATGTAATTTTAGTTTTAACAAAAATTTGAGGGATTGAATTTTTTAGATTATAATTAGACTCCAAGATAAGCAACACGACATATCTCAAACTTCAGAATCTTGAAATTGACAATTTAAAAAACACCCTTCAAGAAATTAAATTTAGTATTGATTTATATCACTAGAACTGTTCAATATTGCTTTTGAAGTAGCTAGGTCTTTAAATGTAAAAGAAAACAAAAAACTAGAAAATGTGGAAAGCAATTCAATCATGGTAATCACTCATCATCTGATTATTTTAAGCCTTTTATTACTTTACCTCTGCTGGACCATCTTATTAATGATCTTATTATTATATAAGATAATAAACAAAAAGCATTTTAGTTTAGATGGGATGTTTGCAGTTCCAACCGCGATGTTAAGTTACCTGAAAACTAACTAAGATTGGCAAATCTACTTTCACAAATGGGTATCTATCATATCTAGCATCCAACCTCTATTTATGCAGAGTTAGATTATGAAAGCCTCTTTAGAAAGATCAAACAAAACCCCCATGTAGTATTTCTTAGACAAACATCATGACAATGACTGGTTCCCCCCCCCCCCCAACATTCTTAAATATTTAAAAGATTTAATTCTAGGTACAATACCAAGAGATTAAAAACTTGTTCAAGAAGTAGAGTGTTAAAAAGATGATTAAATGGTCTAGCCTTAATGTCAATACAGAAATGGTTCCAGATAAAGACAGGGTTTTTCAACATTTTTTCTGAGAAAGATTCTTAAAGAAGCTTCTAGAGAAAGATGTTTAAAGATGAAATTTAAGCCTTAAATAATTCACTATGATTGAATAATAATTATTATCTCTTGTATTAACAATCATTTTTTTGTTAAAATCTTATTTTTTGTTTTTTTTAAATGTGTACATTTCATAATCTTTGACATCTAAAATGTTAAATGTTTTAAAAAGTGTTCTAAACTAAATAATATAAAAAACTAAATAAAAAATTTAAATGTGTGTAAATTTTGTTAGCGTATGCTACAAAATGAGTGCTCAATAATCATAAAAAACAAAGATATAATAATATATAATAATAGTTAATAAGACTGTTCAAATTTTTTTTTTTTCAAAATATTTTTATATATAGTTGTATACAATTTCGAATTAAATATCTTTTGAATATATCACGATATTATATTGTTAATATATATGTTATTATATTGTTAAGGCAGTAAAAGTTGCAGTTATTCTATTTGTAATAAAAAAATAATAAAATGAATCCAGAAACGGAGGGCTTTTTTTATCAACAATAACAATACACGATTTTTTTTTGTATAAGCAACTTAGAACTTTGGTCAGAACTCGAGTTGCTTATTTTTCAGCCAATTTCTATATCTTGAATTGCTTAATGGTTGCTTAAGTTTCTTAGCCTAAATTTCAGTGTTTTTACGAATAAGAGACAAAATACGGTTTAATATCAAGTCTTTGACAGAAGAGTGCTCTTTACAACTAAAATCACTTAAATTCTAATTAAAAAAAGATCACAAGTGTTTCTCTCTTCTGTTGGATTTTTATTTTCTTCATTTCCACTTTCTTCGTCTTCTTGTCCATCTGATTTTTCTACTTGTCCATCTTGTTCCTTGTCTTCTCCGTCTGATTCGTCAGGCAAAACATCAATAGGGTTATCCTTTACTTCGTCTGGAATAGGAGTCTCTGTGATTTCCACCAGGTTGTCAATGTCAACAGGGGGTGAAACAACATAAGCAGGCATGCCTTCAGGATTTATCTTATCGTCCTCGCTACCATCAGCCGTTATAAGACATCCTGTTTTCGCAAAGCTCCTATAAAGCATACAAAGAAATTTCTCGTCTTTGGATGTTTTACGGTAAGCTACACATCAGTAACAAGCTTCTCTAAAACCGATTTCACAGTTTTTTTAATATTATCGTACTTATTCTTTCCATCAATGATTTGATCCAAGTTCATTGATTTCGGATCTTTGTCAGTTTGAGCAATATCCGTGTATTTTGTGTGTTTACACCAAAACTCGTGCATCGAACGGGCTTGTGATGTTTTCAGAGAATTTTTGCAAACAATACATTCAAACAAATTATCTTCTTTTTCTATCGGCACTACATTTACAAACTCACCACGATGACAATTCTTTTTGGTAAAACCAAAGTTGAACAAATTTGTCTGCTTTCTCTTACTCATGATCTTAACAGCGTTGTCAACAACATACAATACAACAACACTACTGTGATTACATTCTTTTGAAATCGTTTATTTAAAAGAAGTCATTAGATTGCAGAGAAAAAAATTGCAATTTATGAGTTGCTTATGTTAATATTTGTGAAGAACTGAAGTTGCTTAATATTTTTTCACATCGAGTTCAGTTGCTTATAAACGAGTTGCTTATACAAAAAAAATCGTGTACTTTTACATTGACGCCTATTAAGAATGCGATAGAATTTATAAATGGAGAGGTAACTTTAGGCAGCTTTACAACTTACATATGGAGTGCAAAGTCCAATGACTTACCTTCTAGTTGGTGCACTTCGTGAAGTAAGTTAGACATTGTATGTGTAACTTACGAACAGAATAGCCAAGGCAAATTTTATGTTTTCCCATTAATTTTTATACTAGAATCCAATAAAATTAAATGAAAAATATGTGTACAAAAAGTGAAAACTAAACTAGGTAAACAACGCAGAAGCTGTTTAACCCTTTAATTAAAGATGCTCAGATAAAAAACTTTCTGGCAGCGTTTACATGACGTAATTATCGGACGTCTTTTTGACGTAGACTAACAGGGACTAAGCATAAACCCTTCTATATCTTTTGTAATGTCTGTCAAAGCAATTTCTAGGTCGGCTGAATGTTTTCTGAGATCTTATTTAGACATATTCTGAAAATTATATAGAAATCCAAAAAGTTTATGGTGTTCTTTCAGCTGCATAAACCGTGGTTGAAGAGATTGCAATGCTCTGTCTACAACTTGATTGAAAAAATTTACCCGGAATTCTGTCTTTTTTGTCAACAGAAGCGCTGTTACAAGAAAAAGAAACATTTTCTTTTTCTTGTAACAGCGCTTCTGTTGAAATATGGGTTCAACTTCTAACTCATTTGCAAGCTCTTTGGCATCAATCAATGCAGCTACAAAGCCTGTCTCTCGGTATGTCTTCAACCAATCAAACAATTTTTCAAAAAATGTCAGCCCCGCGGCAATGTCTATGGTATTGCTTTGAAGTTCCTTGCTAGTAAAATTTACTTTAAACAATAAAGAGTGCCAAAAACATAGTGCAACCAGAAACCTATAATTTGTCATTTGGCTTACTAATGATTCAGCCTCACTTTTCCCTTGAGCATCATTTGTGCTTTTTGCTAGTTCTTCTAAAGCATCACACACTTCTGCGGCTTGAAATCGTACAGCTTTAACACTTTCCATTTTACATTCCCATCTTGTTTCTGATAATGGTTTAACAGACAGGCCTTTCACATGCTTTTTAAAAACAGTCCATCTTTTTGTAGATGAAGAAAAAAGGGTGTAAATACGCTGCAGGGTTCCAAAAAATGTCATGGCATCTGAACACGTTTTAGCCATATCTCCTAGAACAAGATTATAATTATGGCACACACAAGGAGTATAGAAAGCTCGTGAATTTCTTTCCAAAAGTTGTGCTTGCACTCCAGAATTGTGCCCTTTCATATTAGCTCCATTATCATACCCTTGTCCTCTGATGTTTTCAACATCTAGTCCTAGCATTTCAATTTCTTTCACAAGAGTGTTAAATAAATTTTCACCAGTGCTGCTCTCAACTATAATAAACTTTATAAAATGTTTATAAATTCCTGCTGGGACATCTGAGTGTGTGCCATCAGCGACATATCTTAGCACCATTGACATCTGTTCCTGATGGCTGATATCAGGAGTGCAGTCAAGAATCACTGCAAAATACTTTGCCGACTTAATTCTAGCAATAATTTCCTGTAGAACAGCTTGGTCTATAGTATCAATAACTTCATCTTGTATGGTCTTGCCTAAATAATGATCATGAATGTCTTTGTTAATAATTTTCTGTATATGATCTTGCATAACTGGATCAAATTTTCCTAGCAATTCAATGACGCCTAGAAAATTGCCATTATGTGGATTTCCAATTTGTTCTTCAGACCCACGAAATGCCAAATTCCTTTCTGCCAAAAACTGTACAGAAGCAACAAGTCGCTCAAAGACTTGATTCCAGCGTTTTGTTTCCTGACCTTATTAATTTTTCATTTAATGTATCAACAGTTAATCCAGTAGATAACCTTTGCTGCAGTTCATAGCAATTAAGTGTACATTGCAAATGTTTTTTTTGATTTTTCATGATCCTCTAATCTTGTATGAATATTTGACCAGCTGTCAAATCCAGAAGTAGCAAGTGTAGAATCAGAATTTGTGTCAAAAAGTTTGCAATAATAACAGTAAACTTTATCAAATGATTCAGAATATATTAGCCATGGTCGTTCTATAACTTCCCCATTTTTTTATTTTCTTTTACAGTGAAATTTCGAAAAATGTAACCCTTTTTCACTTTGCGGAAAATTTTCTACAGTGATCTTAGGGGGTCCTTCGTTCACTAAATAATCTCTGACATTTTGATTTATTTTATTTGGCCTTGTAGCAGGGTCATCTTTTATCTTTAAAATATCACATAGTGCTGGGTTTGAATTTTCTTCTCTTGATTCTGAAATATCCTCATTATCCTTGTGTGCGTTAACAGATATATTTATACATAATTCAGATGTATTTTGTTGAGCATTACATCCAGAAAGAAAACTACTACTAGCTTCTGATGTAATTTCTTTAGAAATATTTGTTTCACTGTCGTCTGACTCGACTTGTTTGTCTGATTTTTCAGTTTCAAACAGATCTACTGATTTACTCAAATATTTATCTAACGCACCTTTTTCTTTTTCTGCTTCAGTTTTCTTTACCTTAGCTAAGGTTCTCTTCATGTTACCACTTAGATATTTTCTACCGACGTCCCTTTGTCTTTTACTCATATTTTTGCTTGTGTTCTTCAAAACTAAAAACGTATCTCTTTTTTTACTACTAAATTGCACAATAAAATAAAATAGTTTAATTAAACTAAAATAAATAAAAAATCCCCCTTACAAAATTAAAAGTAAAATTAACAAATGTAAGCAATTGATTACTGCAAATATCTTAATATAAATAAACAAACATTTAACATTAAGATTATTTATTAGACTTGAAAAAAAGTACTCTTAAAATTATCCAATAAAATTTATATTGTCTTAAATATAAAATATTTACTGAAAAGCGAGAAAAGTTTGCGTTAAACAAAAGTAAATAAAACTAATAGTAAACAAAATGAAAAATAATTATAGCATAAACAAACAAAAAATATATTACAAACATTTCAAAAGTAAATACAGCTTAATCTTTAACAATATAAAAGCTGCCGCCGTGTTCATTGCTTGCCTCGTGAATTTTCGGAAATAAGTACTTCTGGAACTTTCGAAAGTAGATTGGAAACTAATATATTTTATACCATATACCGCAATAACTAAGATAAACTAAAAATAACAATAAACGTTACCATGCGCATTAAACGTTCAACGTTAACTGTATGAATTATATTAAGATTGATAGAAATTTATAAAAAAAAATTACTGCCATTTATAATGATATGCTATAAATTGCGGGGCCCCTACCAAGCGCGGGGCCCTATTTGGAGCAATCGGTCAAATCGGCCTAAGACCGGCCCTGTAGACTAACCGAATTAAATAGCTGCAATTTGATGTAATTTTTGACGTAATTTTTACAAATTTTAGCTACACCTGTATAAAATCCTAGATCCGCCCCTGTGTTGTCTAAGACTATTTCCTTACAAAAGGTATGTAGAAGCTTTATGTACACAAAGATTTCTTTTTAAAAAAGAGCACTTGATTTCAATTATTTTGCAGCTGTCTTAATACAGAACCCATCAAGGGCTAGAACCAGCCATGGCATTTGGGGTTTATAACAAGATCACATTTTTTTGCACCACAGTTAAATTTGATGTAGTGAGTTTTTTATTTTGTCCTTAAATGCATTTTTGATTTAGTATTGATCTTTAGTTTCGGATTTAATTTGAATTGTTTTACGAAAAGTAATTAACATTGTGGAAGCTATAATTTTCGGCGTCCTATGATTCAACCGAATCTCTAATTTCAATTTAGAACCGAATATGAGAAATTTATTACACAACCGTAAATATTTACGAAAAAAATTAGAACCGAAAAAATTTCAATCGAATTTTCGATCGAAAGTCATTAATGATTTTAGAACCGAAAAAATTTCGATCGAATTTTCGATCGAAAGTCATTAATGATTTTAGAACCGAATTTCATTAAAATGGTTTACAACCAAAAGTTACACTTAATTAATTACAATTAAGTGAGCGTTTTTAGAAAACGATGAGGGAAAACGAAGAATAATGAATGAAAAGGTTGCTGACCCATACCAAACCCTCAGTCGATGTAGCAGCACTCCACTGCGAGTCAGGCTATTTGTCAGTCGATGTATGCACTGAAGCCCCAGCAGCAGGCTATTTGACGTTAGGTGAGTATGACATCATCATGCTCACCTAACTCAGCAGTATAAGATATATGTATATATATTTTAAGGTACTTCTATACAGTATATAGTACTTATATACAGTATATAGTACTGTATAGAAGTACCTTAAGGTACTTCTATACAGTATATAGTATATACAGTACAGTCTATAAGGTACTTCTATACGAAGAAATTTTAATTGTTTATTTTATTGTAAAACGACTAACTGAAAAAGAAAGAAAAAAGATTAAAAAAAGAAAGGATTTTGTAATTCGATCAAAATTTTTTTGGTTGTAAAATTCGGTTTAAAAACTTTCGGCGCAAGAAAGAATTGTATAATTCGTTCCTGCAATGAAAGTATACTTTTCGGTTCTAAAATTTTCGGTTGTGAAATATTTCGGTGATATTTTTTTTTTTTTTTTTAATTCACCTCCTCAAGGCCGAGAAGGCCACTACAGACGAGGAGGCTATTTATTTGTGGTTATAACCCTCTCTCAACTCTATAACTACGAAACACGAACCTTGACGAACAAGGCCGCTGCGCGGAGAAACCAGGGATGTGGTGGGGATCGAACTAGGAACCACTACTACCGCATATGAGATATAATAGATATGAGAGAGAGATTAAGATTAAAAGATTTACGAGGATAAATATTTTCGGCTCTATCAAGTGACACGTAATTTTCCTCAAATTAGTTATAATTAAATGGTTCAGGACGGCGAAGAAATTTTCCAAATGTAACAAATAAAAAGTATGACATTTTTTGGCTCACTCCCAAGAAAAAAAATGAATGATACTTCTGTTTCTCGTCTTGGTATGTGCCAATAACTTTTTTGCTCTATACTATGTAGACTCTATACTAGGGCAATGCTCTATACTAGATTCCCTATAGCAAGAATAAGTTGCTTTCCATGCTTCGCGGAGTTGTCCGTTGTAGTTTATTACTTAGAAATTAGTGCATGGTTATTTACTGATTCAAGCTGATTTTGATTTCGATGACACAGTATCTCCCTTACCGTTGAGGGGAAAATATTTAGGAAGTTTTCCTTAATTTGAAAACATTTGCCTTAAGGTGGTATACCCCCTTCAAAATTATCTTGGAAATGAAATCTTATAGTCAAAATTAAAAATAAGCCTATGAAAGATCTAATTAAACGAAATCGATTTATAAAATTACAGGTGATTATGTTGTCATGACAACCACCTAAAATGGCGGATATAAGAAAATATGCACATCGCACTGTCAAAAATATCTCAAATTCTAATAGAGTGTTCATAATAAAACTTGGCCCAATGATAAAAAACAGTTTGATCTATGCAATCTGCCAAAAGTTTTTAAATCTGACTATTAGTTACCATATAGCACTACAGGGATTATGAAGATTTTTAAATAAGCAATTTTTTAGTGCTGAAACAGCAATATCTCAAACTCTGAAATGTTTTATAATTAACTTTTGGCAGATTGCATGCATCATATAAAAACACATCACTGCTGAAAATTTGGTTAAAAACTGATTACTAGAAAATGAAATAACTGTGACGGGAGATTGAAAAATAGAAGTTAGCAAATAAAGACTTGAAAAATTAAAAAAGAGAAAAATATGCAAATCAGTTACTGAACAACAATGGCTAATAAGGTGCAATCAATTATTCTGTATCCACATATATCTTTTTTATTAGAACTTGCAGAAGTATTAATAGGGTTTACCTTGGAATAAGAATTATTGAGCTCTGTGAATCTGTAGAAGGTAGAAGACTAGTATTTGCTGAATTTGGTTTATTTAAAGTATATTGATTTCCATGAATTCTTTTTTTTTGAGTTTTTTTTATTGAGTAGCGAATTTCACACATTCTCTACCCATTAAAAGTAATAGGTTTAGTTTATATAAACATAAACAGATGCATAGATAAATATAACTTAAAGGTGACAATTCGTTTTTAAGAAACTTCTGCAAGAAAATTATGAGAAGTCCGGTTATTGCTTTTACCCTTACAGATGTTTTGATGAATAAAAAAATAGAAACAAGTTATTACCTTATTTCAGCAGGCTTTTTCTCAGTATTAAAATAATAAGTTTAAGGAGAATTTCTTGGCCAAATAAAAATTTAACCGTTGCTATGGAGGTTGTCAAGGGCGCTTAAAAAAGTAAGGTTCAGTAATGTTTGTTTTCCTCAAGTTATTTACTTAATTTTAGAAAATGGTAATCAGAATATGATTCTATAAATTTTGAAAATAAAACAAAATTTTTTTTGAAAAATTTTATATTTCTGAGGGGTTTACCAACTTAATACTTATTATACATTGCATACTTTCAATAGCTTTAAACGAGCTAATTAAGGATTGCATCTTCTTTCGATAGTATGATTCCGAATATGTAGTTACTTAGACATACAGATGTATTGTCGGTGACAGAGGTTATTGTCTAACAGTGAATTACTTATGTTTTAGTCGATAAAATCCTTGTTTCATTACACAACATGTTGCATTTTATGGTAAGGCTAAAAGGCTTTATTTAAGACTAATTTTGAAGGAATATTGTGAGCCAATTCATATTTATTTACTGATGTATATTTGTAAAATATATTCACACAACAGTTTTTAAACGAAATTTATTAAAACTACGTTCAAATAATATTTACTATTTTTTCTCCTGTGGAGAGAATAAGATTAAAAGATTTAGGCGTATATGAAGTCAATTATAAGAGAAAAGATTATAAGGGAAAAGTATGATTTAAGTAAGAGCAACAACGTAATATTCAAATTTATATTTGTAGTATATATATTGTATAAATTTATAGTAACCTATAAGAGTTTCTGATTTTTCTGTACACGCAAATAATATGCAAAGATTATCAACTCACGGCAATCGACATTCCTTAAAAGCAATCCATTAAAATAGCTTTATAGGGAAAGGTCAATTGCCACGAGCTTTTAAAATTTCAGGGCAATTAAGGAGAATCAATTGGTAAATCTCTATCATTTGAAACCCTGTAATTTAGTGAAATGCTTGTATGTCATAAATTGACGGTGACATTTCTTGTTGAAATGTCACCGTCAATTATTTAAATTGTAAATATAACTTTTATTTTTGATGAAGTTCGAATTTACGAGATTGTATTGTTTGTAATAATCGCAAAAGTTAACCTGATTAAAGGGACTAATAAATAATTGAATACCTGAATTCAATGCGATACAGAAAAAAAAAAGCAAGAAAAAACAACATTTTTTGTGAAATTAATTCTTTGTAATCGAATATGTTGAAGAACATTTTCCACAAGAATATCTATCAAAATGCTGTGCCATAAAAACACTAGCACCACAAGATTCACCAGGACAATCTCTCTTGAGGCGGGTTATTTTACCATTCTCATCAACTTTGTAATGTTTTAGTACTGCAAGCTTAACCTAATGAATTAAATTATAATTTAGTAAAAAAATGCAATTAATATTACAAAAACAGCAATGTATTAAATTCTAAAACTAAAATACATTTTAAAAAGATATTGCCTACTTACACATTACAAAAAAATTACTTAAAAAGTTGAATCCCCTTAGTCCACAAGTAATTAAGTAACAATAAAGAAAAATATTTTTAATCTCAACCATCAGACATCTAAGGAAGGACATATGCCATCAATGAAATAATAAAATCTCATCAGTGGAAACTGCGAATATAGAATAAAATTCATCACATGGTTGAGTTAAACTAGAAGTTTATTAATTTTGATAGCCATCAGACATCTAAGGAAGGACATAAGACATCAATGAAATAATAAAATCTCTTCAGTGGAAACTGCGAATATAGAATAAAATTCATCAATTGGCTAGAAGTTGTTAAAATCACTAAATCATTGTTTTTAAATAACACATTTTACTGCACAATAAGTTATAAAATTGTAATAGTTAAAAACTAAAAAAATGATTTTAAAATTTTGAAAAGATTTTGATTGTTGTATATTAATTTATTTACTTTAAAATTTGAAGGTAAAAAGCTTTTAAAAAATTATAACAATTTAAAACACTATATATGTATAAAAAACCAACAGAATAGCCTTCAGACATCTAAGGAAGGGCATATGCCATCAGTGAAATAAAAGAATCACATCAGTGGAAACTGCGAATATAGAATAAAATTCATCAAAAAGCTATTCGTTGACTTCAGAACTTGTTTGCTTTTACCTTTAATCAATTATCTATACTTAAGAAAAAAGTGAGCATGCCATCAGTCTAAGGAAGACAGTTTATCCACATCAAATTAGGATAACATAATTTCATCAGCTGGCAACAACTAATTAAAACAATTAGATGCAATTTAAATGTGAACTTAAAAACATACTTTAACCAACATTAACATATATTTGACTGATAAACATAAAAACTTAAAAGCATGTTTAGTAAAGAAAAAAAATCAATAATAGCTAATCAAAATAAATCATTGCGTAATAATTAAAAATAAGTTAGGTTAATTGAATATGTATGTATATAAACGTTTTAATGTATAATACGAAAAACAAAATATCATCTTACTTTCTTCTTTTTATGTTTGATTTTTTTAGGTGTACTATAATTCTTCTTCTTACGTTTTTTGCCACCACCTCTGAGTCTTAAAACAAGATGAAGTGTAGACTCCTTTTGAATGTTATAATCACTTAATGTCCTTCCATCTTCTAACTGCTTTCCAGCAAAGATAAGTCGTTGCTGGTCTGGTGGAATACCTTCTTTATCTTGAATTTTAGCTTTAACATTCTCGATTGTATCTGCTGGCTCGACCTTAAAAGTTATAAAAACTGTTAGATCTCTTTTAATACTAGATTTACGTTTAAATGCTACATTTAACCTAAGGTTTACAAATAATCTTCTCAGAAAATACAGCCAGATGTATAATCATTGAATCATACGGTAATTCCGAGTTTCATCATTGAAGATTTTTTTAATTATATAATAAAACGTTAAGTTGTATATTTATCGTATATTTATCGTATATAGTTGTATATTTTAACTCTTTGGTAGTCTCAGACAAATGCCTCGATTTGACATCATTTTATATCAGTCTCGTCATCTACTGATCATCATTGACAAAAGCCTTCGTATCAGCTACATTACTCAATATTAACATTAACACTTTCTTATTCTACAAAAAAGTAACCTTTGAGACTCTCAGACAAATGCCTCGATTTGACATCAGTATACATCAGTCTCGTCATCTTTTAGTCATCATTGAGGGCTCAATATAAGGTTAGATTTCATTATTTTAAATTACAACTATAACGCCTCATATCTTTAAAAATGTCTCCATAAAAAATATTGTTAGCCAAGTCTCCTTAGTGGCCTAGCCTTTTATATAAAGAAATTAAACTTTATTCACCTCGAGTGTAATGGTCTTGCCAGTAAGCGTTTTAACAAAAATTTGCATTCTGGCGTCCTCAACCCCCACACTATAAAAAAGGTGATTATATGATTTGTAAAATTAACATAAAACAGTTTCAAATTTAAATCAAGATAGGCATCAAGGAGACTAGGCTTGGTACTTACCGACCGCCACGCGACAATTGAAAGAATTTTAGAAATTAGTAAGCGTATTTATAACTGCAGAGGTCTGAAACGAAATAAACTGTTGGGTGTAACGTATTGTATAATTTTGATTTTTATTGTTTATGAATTAAAAAATAATATATATTTTTATTTATTAACATAACAAGTTAGTATTATTTATAATAAAATTTAAGAAAAAAAGTTTTAGATAATAAGCATTGAGTCTATAACTATTGTATTATGATAATAATGAATATATAACACCCGTCCGTAATGCACTCCTACTGAGTGATTAAAATGACAAATATTTTTTCATAAACAAGAGTCATTAAACTCATGTTTGTATTGAGACGAGCGTTCATAACCTTTTTAAATTTATATATTCATAACCTTTTTAAATTTATATTATAGAACAAATTATTACTTATAATTAGTGTTATAGTTTTAAAAATGCTTTAATCGCTAGTTTTCAATTAACAGACAAAACTAACAAAGTAAAACTACTAGATTTCTGTAAAAGATGAATAATTTTCAAAACAAATTATACCATTATTTTTTTTAATTTTTTTTTTTTATTCTCATTTCTTTTTTATTTCAACAGCGATACATATTTCACTGTTGAAATAAGTTACAGATATACTTCAGTTTTTATATTATACTTCAGCTATACTTCAATTTTTAAATTACCAAAAAATCTTCAAGGTTAAATCACCAAAACTCACACAAAACAAAAATCACACAAGTTTAAATCACCAAAAAACCTTCAAAAACAAGCCTCGACTTCCCAACAATTCTTAACCAGGAGTCTACAAACTGGAGTGTTCGTGTAGAAAACTCTATGTAGGTGAAACAAAACTCAAGGTTTCAAATCGCATTTACTAACATCAAAAACATACTTTTGAGGGAAAATGGAAAAATTCAGCTGTAGCGGGGCATTGCCATGGTGCCTTTAGTTGAAATAAAAACAATACTGTTAAAGTAGAGGAAAACTATTTTAAGAGAAAAATGAGAGAGTCTTTGGAAATTCAGTATCACCAGTGCTCTCCAAATGAAGGTGGTTTGAATGAAGACAACAGCGATTACGTCACGTCGTCGTTTTGGAAACCTTATTTTTCTTATTTAAGACGCAAGAACACATTACATTGAAGTTTTACTATTTGTTTTTTTGTTTTTTTAACGGTTTTTTTTATATTACTTGAATAAAGAGGGTATATATAACCCCTAGAAATATTGTATTTTATTATAAAGAATTATATAAGAATAAGTTTACATACTATAACAGATGTTTTAACTTTAAGTTACAGATGAGTTTTACATGGTTTTACATCAATAAATAAAATATTTTAAAAACAGACGGGGACCCAAAGAAGATATGGATGATGTAATATCACCTAAATCTTTTCATAGAGCCCTTTAATATCACAAAATAATGTCAAAAAGAGTTTAAAAATAAAAAGAGTTGAAAATAAAAAAGTAATAAAATAAAAAATATATAAAATAAACTAAAGATATAATAAGAAAACAAATTATTTTTACAATTACAAAGATATTTTGCAATAACTATACAGCAAATTTAAGTATTCAAAGATTTAGAAATAAATACAAATATATACACAAAAATTTAATAATTAATACATTGAAAGATGCATATAGCATCATAATATTTTTGGAATTATTATTCCGCAAAAAAATGTGTTTTTTTGCTTGAAACTTTAATGATTTTACTATATTTGCATTATTTTTTCGAAAAGAATTCCATACTTAGGTCCTCGATATGCTATTGAATATTCTGTATATTTATTTAATTTCCTTGACAGCTTAAAGGAACTTGATCGGTTTATGATTTGCATTATGATTTGTATTATGTCTGATAGTTATTAACAAGAGTAGCGTTGTTTGTATGCAGTGACGTATCTAGGGTAAATAGTGAAAGTATCAATTTTAATTTATCAAATAATCTTTTCAATACACAATAGAAACTTTGATTGTCAGCAATATTTTTAATGCTACTGAACTATAAAATTAATTAATTATTAATGTCTTGAAAATTTTTTGGAACAGCTTGTTAGCAGCGTTCTAAAATTCGAAATTTCTATATATAATTCTTTCCCATCCTAATCACAATTGTAGGTTTTTCTAAATTTTTCATATTGATGTTTCAAGTAGTTTGTTTCAGCTTTAAAACAAAACCTTTTGACATCAAGAATAAATTCAAATTTTTTATCAATTTCTTCTACTTTTTAATTTATTGAATAGACGGTAGACAGTCTCTTTCATAACTCTTTACATTTCTTGAAGTTTCTGTATCCAATATTTTTTTTATTTTTTTATTTTTATTTTAGTATTTCATTTTCAATGCTCCATTTTTTTCAAATTCGAGTTTGTGAATGCTACATTATGAGAGGATCCTGCAACTACTTTTAAACGCGTTTAATATTAATTAAAAACTTGTTTTAAAACCCAAGAAAATTTATAAAATTGTTAGTATTCAGTTATACAGTTGCTTTGTGTTGCTTTTGGTTTAACTAATTGCGCTTTCTTCGTCTATTATGTTTAAGAGAGCTCCCACTAATTCCTTGAGATATTTGTTGACAGGCTTTACTGATTCCGCTTTTTGCTTTTGTTTGACTTCCGCTGGTAGCGGAGTCATACTTCAAAGCTGCAGATGCAACAGTTTTGAACTTTTCCCAACGCTGGCTTGAAACGAGAGAATAAAACTTAAAATGAATTGATGGTTTCGAACAAATCTAACATTACTTTTTTCTTTGGCTAACTGGACTCCAACCAAATTTAGCGAATGATCACAATTCACAAACACTTTCATGTTTTTCTTTTTATGAATATTTGAACATTAATATATTAAATATATGAATAATATATATTGTGTCCAACCATAATAGCAGCATTATCGTAGCGCTATGAGTTACAATCTTGTAAATTCATTTTGTCATTCTCTAATTCTAATTACCTAAAAGTTATTTTCAAAAAATCAAAACCTATGGTATTAGGACCTGACGACTACCTTAATCCATATTTATATCTATAAAAAATAGTTTTTATAGATATAAATTTGTGTTATCAAGAAAAATATTTTTATTTATTTTCATTTTTGCTTTTGTGCGCCCTTTTCCCTCGATTAGAGTCATGGCACTTGCCATGACTCTAATCGAGGGAAAATTATTCAATTCCCCATTGATTTAGTGCATCTCTATATATAGTAAGAACGGACTAATGTTCTGTCGCTTTATTAGTAATTGTACGGCCTTGGTTTATTAACTTCACTGTCTTAATACGGTATCAAATGCGTTTAAGGTGTAATCAATTCAAAAAAAAATTTGAAATATTTCGGCTGATCTAAGAAAAAATTATTTTTAAATTGTTTTTAAAAAAGTTTTTCATTTCTTTTTTTTATTTAATTGTTTATACTTTTTGTGACAATTAATGCTGACAGATTTCAGCTATGGTGTTTAATACGGTTCATACAAAAAACTCAATATTTTTGTATGGACTGTATTTTGCAATTGTTTATGTTTTTCCTTCTCATCTTCAAGTTCTTTTTTCAAATCACTGATTTGAGCCGTAGTGGAGTTGAGCTTTTTTTTAATCCCATTTTAGATAAAGATTTTTTTTTGTAAACAATTTTTGCTGAAGAATCACGTCTCTTTTACGCAACAAATTTTCAGAAACAATGTTTTTTTTTTTGTTTTGCTTTTTTATTTTGTGGCAACTTTTTTTTTCTTTTTTAGGATTTGTATCTTTATTTCAGCATTTCACTTGGGGTTTTTGTATGATTTATATTTTATTTTAGCTTGTGATTTTTTTTTTTTCGTGCATATTTTTTTATATTTATGCGCTCTCGTTCTCGAAGCTTTATTCTTTGACTTTTAAATTGTTTAAAAGTAGACTTGATGAAAACTCCTTTCGTCCCTTAGTTTACAACACCGTTTAAGTTAAAAATTGGCGGTTTTTACATTTCAATGTCTATCGATGGAGTTGCTCATTGCGCTGGTCACATGATATAGATTTCAGCAAATCAGAAGCCGCTGAACTGCAGATTTACAGTTTTTTATACATTTTTTATACACTTTCTAACTTTTTATACATTTTTTACACACTTTCTAATTTTGGTAAACGATTGTATTTGATAAGAATACCATTTGAATTTTAAAATTAATAAAACATAAAACATAAGCACAGTACCATTTAACCATTTTTAAAATCTACCTAAACTAAAAGTAATATAATTTTAAGACTAATAAGCTACCTTTTTTTTCTCTATATGGTAAGTGCGGAACGCATCAAATGAATTTGGCTAATTCATTCACTTTAGACAATTCTTCATTAAACATTTCTGAGAATAAACATATTGAAGAAATGGTAACTCTACAAGTATCGAAGTCTTTTTTTCAGTTTTATTCCTGTTTATTAAGTATTCTTTAAACCAAAGAATACTTTTTATTATTTTTTTGGTTAAATTGTTTTTATTAAGGATATCAGGATCAACGGTGTCAAAGACAAATCAATAAAAACTTTAGGTGTATAATAATCCTTATTAAAAGCATTTGATATATAATTAATCGCTTATTTACCATTTCTGTAGAATGGTTTTTTTAATTTCATATTTTTTATTTTCAATGTATTGTTTGCTGTTAAATATTTATAAAACGATTTTCAAAAATATATTTTAAATTTATTGGATGAAAATCCAATAGTCTCTGAGTGTTTGACCATACCAAATTTATAACTACCTCATTTCGGTAGTAATTGCAAACATTATTATTTATTTTAAATAAAATTAATACTATTTACAGCACGACTGCATTTATTCTATAAATGATTTACTCGGAATTACTTGCATTAAGTTATAAACATTAAAAATATCAGTAACTATGATACAGTGTAACCATGATACAGTGTAACCAAGTGTGAGGGAGATTTTTAAAAATATTAATTTGTTTTAAAAAGATATCAATTTGTTTTAAATTTAATTAATTTGTTATTTGTTTAAAAAATATAATTTCAATAGTATTAAAAAATGAAGTAAACCGATCTTGTTATTAAAATTTA